ACAATATAGACATAACACTTACAATAAGGTAGGTTTACTATTTTCAAGGAATTATTTCGTTACTTTTTAGTGTACTGTTTTTTTTTTTAATTTATTGTTTTTGGTGTATTTTGTTTTGTTTTTAGTGCATTTTGTTTTGTTTTTCGTGTATTTTGTTTTATTGTTTACATATGTCAAATTATCAATTACAAATAAAATACCAATTACCTCACCATGGCAATCTTGCTTCCTTGATGTTGGCAGCAACTTATGATCTCTTTCCCACATTAGGGTTTTTATCCAAAATATTTACACCCTAAGTTTAATAGCGTGAAAATATATAGTCTAAAGCGTGACGTAAGTGTAGGGCTTTTTATTAAAAAAGAATTATTCAAAAATATGTTGTAATTGCTGACATCTTAGGCAACAAAGAATTGTGTGTTTACGCTTTATTATAATAGTATAGAAGTATAGATAGTATAGATATAAGTATAGAAGTATAGAGTAGCTTTTGCCCGCGAATACGTCTGCGAGGATTAAAAAAAGTGTTAAGTAGCCTTTGTGTTCTTTTAGACTTTGTTCGATGTAAAAAGAACAATAGTTTTTTTTTTTCAGTGCCGATTTACAAAAGTGTGTGGAAATATCTCTAGTAGTAGCAAAACTTGACGAGGTTTTCTTATTTCCTTATCCTTACTTACCTTACTAACATCATAAATGAGGAAGTTTGGATGGATGTTTGTTATAGTTTGTACTACTACTGAACGGCTGAATCTGGATGAAAGGAAATTGAAAAGATATCTTCTATCGATACATAAAATAAAATTGGTGTGTCTGTTTGTAATATCAAAAGAAAAATTCCAGATTTCGGAAAGATGTTCTTGAGTTGCATATTTAATTTTTGTCTGTCTGTCTGTCCGCAAGCCGCGTTTATTCCGGAAAACCTCCGAAAAGGCTGGAAATAGACAGCCATATTATTGGCTAATTTTTTATCTTAATATTGCATGGACGAAGTCACGGGCAACAGCTAGTTTTACATATAATATTGTAATTTTTTTTAAATCCGTTTAATACTTACAGAGTTTGGTGTTGTTTTTCCGGTTGGAGATCTATGACGTCACAATATGGCGTAGTCATATTCTTATTTTAAACTTTATAAGATTGTTTACGATATAATGCACAATAACATCAAATTATAATGCAGTTAACCTTAACAAAGAAAACATAAACAGGGCTGACCAATAGTAAATCATACATTTTTGCCTTTTACTGCAATAAGTAATAACAACCACTAGTTATTGAATTGTCATCTACACTAGTATTATAAAGATGAAAGAATTGTATTTTTGTATGTATTGAAATATCTCAAAAACTGTTAGGCCGATTTCAAAAATTCTTTCACCATTAAAAAGCTACGTTATCACTGAGTAACATAGACTACATTTTTATTATTTTTTTAAGTTTACGCGGGCAAAGTCGCAGGCAAGTTCGCCCGCGTTGCTAGTTTAAAATATTTTTTGGTATGTTACTAATTTAGTTTTAGTTATTTCTTTGGAGGTATTACTTGACATTTTGAAATTCTAGTGTTGGCCCGCAGTTTCATCCGCGCGGAATTTTCCCAATCGTCACCCCGGTCTGTCCCCACTTGAGAATAAAAAGTTTGATCCGTCCTACCTTTTAGACCCACTATCACCAATAAGAAGACAGGTGGACCCCTTATGAAATAAAATAAGTTCAAACCGTCAGCTCGTCGCAAAAGGTGGGACGAATGCAACTTTTTATTCTTATCTGTCTTTACGTGGGGACAGAGCGGGGTGACGAATGGGAATAATTCCTTATACCTTCTTCCAGATTTTTGATGTTTATCATCTGTACCAAATACCATAAACATCCATCCATCTAAACTTTGGCATTTAAAATATTACATAGTTATTTCCAAGTATGCTAGTATCCAGTAAACACAAATTGTTTTAGGTATTTTTCCAATGTTTTTTCAATGTCTTGTCCAAATTAAAACCAATTAATTTTACAACCAGTCTAATTTACATTAGACAATTGTTCTAAAAACAAACACTGTTTTTAAAAGATAAATTGTACAAAAACGGGAATGTACAAAAACATATCTTGATTCAAACGAATTAGTTAATTTGATTCGACATTTATTTATGAATCACAAATCTTGTCCTAACCTAAAAAATAAAGTAAAACGAAACAATAAAAAAGTTTCATAATGTAACTCGCGTTATTTAATTAACAATTATCATGTTATCTTTAATTTAAACTGATTCTAGACAATCTTGTAATAACTATTCAAAAATAAAACAAATACTAAACTTAGTCGTTTGCATGTGAAATACAAAAACAAACAAAAGTAAGTATTCTATAAGTTCTTCCAAACTATGCTCTACATCTACGCCAAATTACATCCAGATCCGTTCAGCAGTTTAGGCTACAAACTCTAACAAACATCCATCCATCTAAACTTTCGCATTTATAATATTGTTATGATATTGTGTCTGCATAAATTATTGGACGTTCTAAATGCCAAGAATCCCGTTCCATTCAAAAAAAAGCAATACTTTCTTTTTTTATAAACATAAGGTGGCAAACGAGCAAGTGGCCTGTCTTCTCCGAAATAGCGACCATTATCCACAAACGATATTTTAACTAAAGTACAACCCTAATACAAACTGCAGTGCAAAATAGATGCATATCATTACGTATTAACTTTTTTGCTTGCATTTGATCTAATGTCCTTCCTTACAAATGTACTAATGTAGGGGCACCATGCTACGACAAAATTTAGGATAAAATTTTTCATATAACTAATACTAAAAACATTTATTTAACTGGGAATTTAAATTACGTTATTTATAGAGTGTACTTTTTATATAATGTAGTGATGTAATATGAAAAATAAGTATAGAAAGTTTCCTTTTCACAAGTGGACAAACAAAAGATGTATTTATTGACATATAGCGATGATGTGACATGTACCGTTACCACAGAGTAGACAAATAACAGAATGACATCTTTGTGTTACAGCGGTGGTTTTTAATTCAAATAATATTTTTTTTTTAACTTCGCTTTTTCATAATTTCACAATAATGAACATGATCTGGGGCGAATTGACTTTTTAATTTAGTTAATTTCTAATATCTGTAAAGTTACAATTTTATATTTTTCACATGGCGAGGGATTTTAGATTTCTGGTCAATATTACAGGAAAATAAAATAAAACAATTTAATGGTCTCAATAATTTCGTGATTGTTTTGATTTGTGACTTTTATACTATTTTCATTCTGCATATTTTACTGCTCTATGTGAAACGCAATGTCATCGTTCAATGTTTATCGGAGTACGGTTACATCATAAACATTCGAAGAGGCTTTCTACGACCTTTGTTGTAGAAAATTCTATAGGCCTATTGCACAAATTTAACAGCGGTAGAGGCCGCTTTAACATCTTCGCACGAATGGGCCGGCTCGCCCTGTGTAATACCACGACCACACAGA